CCAAAATCGTAACGTAACGTTCAGTAGTTATCGTTTCTCGTATAAAAAAGGGTCCGGTAATGCCTCTGGCGCATACCGAAGCCCATGCACTAACTTTAGGCGAATGCAGTGTATTCTCCTTCACACAAATGAGAATTTTCGGAACCCCAAAATTCTCCAGATTTGTTTATTAACAATTTCATTCAACATGAAAATGTGCCTCATCTGTGAACCAGATGCAGCTCACATCAAATCTGTCTTTGTTCGATCATTGTTAGAATCTGATTCGAAAAGTCAACCCTTTGTTGCACACCTTTCATGATGTTTTGGGATTTTGTATGGAAACACCCGTAGGCTAATCAAAATTGTAAAAAATTTTTTTTTATTTAGCGTAAGTATACTTTAAACTTCTCTCTGATGCAATCCGTCGGATTCTTTTCCTAGGATTTTGCTGAACAATTCCAGAAACTTTGGCTGCATTTTCAGGAGTGATTGCAATTTGCCTAGGCCCCTTTCAATCATCAGCCACGCTGCCAGTCCGTTCGAATTTCGCGAAGAGCATGCGAATGGTTTTCGCATCGGGTCCAACTGGAACATTGAATCGATTTTGAAAACTGCGACGTGTTGCCGTAGGACTGTGTTCTAATCGGTGAAATTCCAGAACAAAAAAACAAAAAAATTTCACTTTCTACGATAGCCTCTTTTCACTAGCCAACAGTCTTACTGTTCACTTTCAACGTGTCTCAAGAAATTTCAGTAAACTATGGAGATTTTAAATTTACTCCTTAATATGAATTAGGAAATGCAAGACCCTGTCGATTTGTTTTTCTGTTCCTTTCATTTAAAATAAGTGACTAAATGGCCATAATACGCTCGAAATTGGTCCCTATAGCCCAAGGGAAAAGGTTAAAGGCTATTGATAGGTCATTGCGATTACAGCTCCCTCTGTTGACGATTTTCGTAACTAAATTTCTAAACTTTTGTACACCATTTTTACAGTTTTGCTAATAAACGTACAGTTTACCGCATAGTTTTATCGATCTTTGCTGTAGAGATATTTAATTTTGAAATCAGGGCTTATTCGCTGATCACCCTGTATGTATGTAAGACAAAGAATCTATAGAGAGAAGATTAATACGCCAGAGTAAAACTTAAAACTAGGCGAAACAGCAGCCTTGTGCTTGGCGTAGATTTTAATAGAAACTATCGATTTTGAGGGCGAAGAAGTACGGCTCCCTCTTCGTCAGGAGCATAAAAATTCCGAAAAGAAGAGAGGACCTAGACCGTATTTTATACTTACCAAAACCAAAGGGTGTCTGATGACAAAATGAAAAGGCCTTTAAAACTTTTCATTAGATTAAATAAAATAACTGATTAAAAATTTAATTCATAAAAGCTTTATCAATGACCCATGATTATTGACAAATCCTTTAAAAAATGTTCACTTTCTCATCAAAGAAGACATTCCGTTTTTAACCGTACCTCATTCCATTTCTTCCTTCAACTAGTTAAAAAAATTGCACAGGCTCTGTAGAAGTTTCACATCATCTTATCACCTATGAATAAAATCCATTGTTCGATTCTTAAATAGTCTCTTTCTGTCTTCAATTCTTGCGAAATTAATAGCATACCATTGCTAGGCTATCTTGAAGGGTGGTTTCAAATATATCGGCCAAACTAAAAGGCAGTTAAAATTTCGCATCAAGGAACACGATTCTTATGTCAGAAAAGAAAAGAATTAATCATATTTTCTATAGCTAATCATAGCTGAAAATTTAATCGCAGTTTTGACTTTGGATCTAAGAAAATTATCCATAAAGCTTCTTCAGTGGGTGTAGGCAATGTCTTTTGTTAAAAATTTTTCGAAAAAGAATTAAACAATCCTTAGACGCTTTTCTATTTTTTTTTTTTTGGAAAAAGAAAGATAATTAGCTAATTTTCAATATAGAGAAAGCTTTTAATTTCCCAATATAAAGTTTTGTTTGGATGTTCTATCTCATAAAAATCTATTCAATAAGAAACTGGGTTACTGATCGTCTTGAATTTTTCACAACAGAATTCATTAATCACCCAGATCATTTGCACTACTTAATTGACCTTTCCAAACTATTTTTTTAAGGGTTTTCTGCTTTGCTCTACCCATTCTAATAAATTGTGAAATGCTTCCGCTTTCCCGGAATTTGCCTGTTAATGAAGAAGGGATGTCGAAAGAGTCCAGATAAAATATGCCAAAACTGTTGTTTTGCCTATAAGTGAAAAATTATCACATGAAGTACAAATTTTAGTTTGCAATAGCCAATAAGTTACTTTTCTAATTGGGGATGTACATAATCTTCTGACTTCATATCACTTCCATGATTTGTGGCACATAATCCGCGTGGCCGTAATGATTTTATTTGGATCAGTCCTTTGATATACAAGTAGTTCGGCGCTCGCAGGCGCCCTCTTGCAGGGAACAAATCAAAATTTACATAAGGCGCGAACATGCCGCCCACCTTGAAATACTATTTCAACATTTAGTGGTTAAAATTCAGTAAATTTAAAACACAATACAATATTAAAATTATGATATAATACTTAATTTATAATACATGAATTAAAACTCAAATTGGTAATGGACACAATTTTGTAATATTTCTTTTAACCATGCCATCTGAAGTCTTAATAGTCACAACCCTAACAATAATATCAAGACCAGGATGTAACTGAGTAATTCTACCCATTTTCCATTTAGTTGGAGGTAAGTTATCCTCCTTTATGAGACACAGATCATTAACTTGAAGATTTTTAGTTGGCAAAAGCCATTTTGGTCTTTGTTGTAATCGACACAGATATTCTTTGTGCCAACGCTTCCAAAATTGTTGAACCATTTTTTGAATATGTTGCCATCTAGTGAGATGGGAAACTTCAATGTAATTTGGTTCAGGAATGCTTGTTAATGATCTACCAATAAGAAAATGACCAGGCGTTAATGCTGACAAGTCATTTGGATCATTAGACAAACTTGTTAAAGGTCGCGAATTAAGACAAGCTTCTATTTGTGTGAGAAATGTTTCAAATTCTTCATATGTCAATCTCGCCTCACCAACTACTCGTTTTAAATGGTATTTTGTTGATTTTATGCCATTTATCCCAGAGTCCACCCATATGTGGCGCACCTGGAACGTTTAGATGCCATTTAATGCCATTATCAACCAAATATCTGCTAACATTTTGGTTATATAAGTTGCAGACCTAGCAAGCCTTTCAAATTCCATCAGTTTGCGTTTTGCTCCAACAAAATTGGAACCACAATCGCTATATATATCACTGCTTTTGCCTCTGCGGGAAATGAACCTCTTAAGAGCTGCAATAAAAGCATCTGCTGAAAGATCAGTCACTAATTCTAGGTGAATAGCTCTTGTCGTAAAACAAACAAATAGAGCTATATATGCCTTGAATGACCTAGAGCCTCGACCCTTATTTGCTTTAATTTGAAAAGGACCTGCGTAATCCACTCCACAGCGCAAAAACGCAGGAGCAGGCGAAACGCGACTAGACGGCAAATCGCTCATCAATTGATTAGTGACAGATGCTCTAATTTTGCAACACTTTATACATTTCCTAACTAAATCTCTGATAACAGCTCTACCATTTATGATCCAATATTGTTCTTGATGCAAGATTGCATAAGTTGTGGACCTGCATGCAAAAGTCTTTCATGGTAATGTCTAACAATGAGATGAGTTAAAATGTGCTTCTTTGGAAGCAAAATTGGATGCCTAAAACCATATGCAAGGTTTGCATGTCGCAAGCGACCGCCCACCCTGAGAATACCTAAATTATCTAAAAATGGATTCAAAGATAAAATTTTGCTTGTACCAGATAATGATTGATTTCTGCCTAAAGTGTTAATTTCATTCTTAAATTCAAACATATTGCATTAATTTAATTAACACATGCATAGCTTTAGTTAATTCACTTGTTTTTAAAAATCCACTTACCTGATCTTCTGAATTTTTACAGTTATTTACAAACCTCAGACATAATGCTACAACACGTTTAAGTTTAGTGAGAGAAGAATATTTATAAAATAAATCATGAGCGTCTGTCAAGTGACTGGCAGCAGTTGTTGACTGTAGAGCACATCTTTGCTCTGGCACAGAATCATTCAGTAGTGGTGCAGACAATGCTTGCTGAAAAGGAAATAAATTATACAATAAATCTGGACCACGTAACCACAATGAAGTAACCAGTGCAGATGATGACACACCACGTTGCAAGATCAGCAGGATTAGCATTTCCACTCACATGATGCCACTGGACAGGAGAGGATAAAGTCTGGATTTTTGCTACTCTGTTGGCGACGAAGGTCTTCCATCGGCTTGCATGAGATCTTATCCAGGGCTAATACAATAGTGGAATCAGTATGAAAATAAACTTGCGATATAGGAGTATTTAAAGCCCTACAGGTGAAATCCATTAATTTAGAGTAATGCTCCACAAAAGTTCCAATCGGGGAAGTGATATGGTTTTTAGTGGTGCAACTCTTGTTTTGGCTATCACTAACTGAACATTAATTTGTCCAGTATCTAACACAGAACGATAATAAATTGCAGCGGCGTAGGCCTTCTCTGAGGCGTCACAAAACCCGTGCAGTTGAAACTGGTTATCTGATTCAACCAACAAGAATCGTGAAATTTTGATACTTTTAATAAATAACAAATCTTCTGTAAGTTGTTTCCACTCACATTCAATATCTGGAGGAACCTTTTCATCCCACTGAAACTGATGTTTCCACAATCTTTGCATAATCAATTTATACCGAACCGTGATCGGTGCCAACCATCCAAGAGGGTCAAAGGTCTTTGCGATTATTGAAAGTAATGTTCGTTTGGTTAAGACTTCAGGATATGATGAATTGACTTTGAATAAAAACATATCTGAAGCTGGATGCCACAGGATACCTAACGTTTTTACAGTATCATCATTGTCTATGTTCAAAGAAACATTTGATAAGCACAAATCTGGATTAATTGAATTCAAGACTTCTTGCTGCTGTTAGAAGCCCATTTTCTTAGAATAAATCCTGCACGTGACAACATCTGATTCAATTGCATTTGTAATTCTATAGCTTCAGTAACTGAATTGGCTCCGGACATCAAATCATCAACGTAGAAGTCCCTAAGACATGTCTTGGAAGCCAAAGGAAAATTAGTTGCTTCATCTATGGCTAACTGCTGTAAACATCTTACCGCAAGGTACGGAGCTGATGCAGTACCGTAAGCAATCCTAGTTAATCGAAAATCCTGAATTGGTTTATAAAGTGAATCGCGCCAGACTATTCTCTGAAAGTCTGCATCTTTTAGTATAATTTGTCTGTACATTTTCTCTATATCTGCAGTTATAGCTATTCTGTGAATTCTGAAACGAATAATTAATGTTGTCAGATCAGTCTGCAACTGTGGACCAACCATCAATTTCTCATTAAGAGAAATACCGCTAGAAGATTTTGCAGAACCATCAAATACGACTCGAAATTTATCACCATTTTTATCCGGAACTGAATGGTGCGGAAGGTAAAAACTAGAATTAGCTGGAACATCAATTTCATTTTCTGGAATCAATTCCATATGACCAAGTTGTTGATAGTCCTCCATAAATTTGTGATATTGACTGGAAAGAGATTTATTCTTAATAAATTGACGTTCAATGCTTTGTAAACGATGTACAGCAACATCCCTTGATGACCCAAGTTCATTTCCCGATCTACGAAATGGAAACTTAACAACAAATCTACCTGTTGAATCACGAGAAAAATTCCGCTTGAAATGATTTTCACATTCAATTTCCTCTTCTGTGTAATGCTTTATCTCCGAAATTTCTTCCAATTTCCAAAATTTTTCAAGCTGGAGCTGAACATTGGTACAACTAGCATGATTAGATACAATTGTTTGTGATACACTTTTAGTCTTTCCGATAATGACCCAGCCGAATATTGATTCCAAGGCTGTTAACGAATGACCCGGAACAGTTAAACGTCCATGAAGCATTATCTCGCCAAATACATCTGCGCCCTAAAAGAATATCTATTGGGCCAGGCTGGAAACAATTTGTATCTGCCAACCACAAATGTTTGAAAGATGTCAAAACAGATCTATCAACTTGATATTGAGGAAGGTCACACGTGATCTTGGGTATAATTAATGCATTAACTGAAATGCTTGCGTTTTTATAAAATGGAGATGTTACTTGTAATTGAACTGAACCTGAAACCTTTCCAATTTTTTGCGAGCTCAGGCCCATTTACACTTATGTTTGCACTAGTGCGCTTTAAGCTGCAGTAAATTTACACAGTGCTCTCGAATAAATGAGCCCTGGCTACCTGAATCAATTAGCATCCTGCATTTTTGTAAATCGCCATTAATATCTTTAACATAAACAACCGCAGTAGGCAATAAAACTGCTTGCGCAACAGGCACCGTGGCGTTATTGCTACTAATAGCAGAAGTTCCGTGTTCCATGGGTATATGACATTTTTCATCATTTGAATTTTTCGAACATAACACTGTATTATGTGGCTTTGAACAATATTTACACATTCCTGTACGACATTTAAAAATGGAATGCGTTTTACTATCTTTCAAACAATTAGCACATAATTTATTCCTTTTAATAATATCCCATTTTTCTTTGATAGTGAGTTCTAAAAAACTATCACATTTAAATAACTGAGAATGAGAATTACTCTTACAATGAACGCACACATTAGCCACAAGTTGGGACGAAAAAGCAATATCTGCTACCTGAACCGCGAGTTTTAATTTCAGAAGGCAAAACTGCCTTCTCCCTCTGGCACTTCGCCAAAGAGGCAATAGCATTCGCTCTGTTTAAAATAAAACGCTTGAATTCAGCCAAAGCAGAAATTTTCTTGTTCGAATGCTCTATCGTCCACTCTTTTAGTGTTTCATGATCAAGTTTTCCTTTTAACAGAAAAATAATCATAGTATCCCAATGCTCTACCGGCTGTTTAAGGATTTTTAATGTATCAATACACTGTTGTGTTGTATCAATTAATCTCCGCAAACCTGAAGCTGATTCATGTTTTAGAACAGGTTGTGAAGTTAATTTATTTAATGCTGCGTTTATTATTTCTATTTCGTTTTCATAACGTTCAGTAAGCGCTTCCCATGCCTTTTCATAATTCGCGTTTGAAATTTGAACTGATTGTAGTAAAACAGCAGCTTCACCTTTCACAGAAAGCTTAAGATATTGCAATTTTTGACTGTCACTTAATGTACTATTATTTCCAACACTGGCAAGAAATAAATCCCTGAATGATATCCAATCAACATAATTAGAAGTAAACACTGGCAATTCCACGCGAGGAAGTTTCAAGCCGTTTGCATTAGCATTTATTAAATCTTTGCCTGAATTACTAAGTTTTCTTGATTCTTCCTTTAAAGTAATTTTTAATACATCTAATTTGGAAAATAATTCATGCATTTCTATTTCATATATACTAAACTCTGCGTCAGAACAAGTACCAAGAATGTTATCGTTTAAACAGTTCACTTCAACACTTAATGCACCAACATCATTTTCGTATACTTCAATGGTAGAAAAAGAATTTTCTTGATTTTGTAAACTATTTACTTGTGAAACTAAACGAGTCAACTTACCCTTAATAATTCGCTTTCGCTTTAAAAATCGACTCCATATTCCTGCTGCTGTTTTCACAATTCAGACAAAATATAAATCCGTTTTCCTTGCACGAAATGTCCTCCTATACCAGAACGTTAAAATTGTCTTGACACATCATCCAAAGAAATGCGCTGGCTCACGACGGACCATGTTAGCGGATAGAAAGTAGACACAAACGTTCCTTACTGCGTTTATTAGACTGTGTGAAGAACAAGTTCGTACAATAGATATACAAGTAGTTCGGCGCTCGCAGGCGCCCTCTTGCAGGGAACAAATCAAAATTTACATAAGGCGCGAACAATCTTCTCGTATCTCGGTGGCTATGAGTATAGTACTCGGGTCTATTTAATGCGAGCAGAATTCTCTATCACTAGCTAAAAAGAGCTCCTATGCGTTAGGTTAAAAAATTCCGAATCTTTCAAATTTAGTGAGCGTTGGTTGGTTCCTCGGACGTCGCATATCTTCCTCCAGCAGCTGTCTGCTAATGAAGAGTTTGTTGCCGTGTTATGAGCAATGAATTGATGTGGTTGATCATTGCGTCGGTGGGCTGTGTTCAGCTATATTCATAAAGTTTTTAGCTGACTTGTCCAATTCTTACTATTTTTAATTAAAATTATTTCAATATAAAATCAATAATCTTAATCATTAGTAGATGTAACATTCAATCAATTTTTCCTTAAACCTAAATTTTTAAAATTATCTTAAACACATAGATGAAAAAAATGCAAATCAATCATTAGCATTAAACTTTTTTTACTTTACCAAACCATGGCTAAATATTAATCGCATCACATACTATTAATAAGATTTCAAAGTCTGACATTTTAGCTCTTAAAAAATTTTCAAATGGAATAGTCAAAATGTTCAAAATGTTTAAAACGCTTTAACTTACAGTCACATTTCAGTCACTAGAAAATACAATCACGTCATCAATATAAGACTCAGCGTAGAATTTTCCTTGATGAGAAGTTTGTTCATAGCTATCCGGAAAATTGCAGCCATGCTTTTAGTAAAATAACTCTTGGAATCTTTTCAACTTCTTTGAAATCAGTATCTTCATCATATATTGCACTGACATTTATTAAAGCAGTCTTGAACAGCAGCGTGAACGTGCTTTGAAGTGTCATCAGGCATTTTCACTATATAACTATAGTCAGTATGCTTTTAGGTGATCGTATCAAAGCCTGTGCATCTTGAATAAACTTTGTTTTCACTATTGGGGACTACGACTATAGCTCTGTTATCTTCCTTAAATTCTTTATGACGGATCTTCCGATTATGATAGAATGCACAAGCTTGGTGTTTCCCAACGGTGGTAAATCCTGCGTTTTAGCTTAGTTGTCCATGACTGTTTCAAGATATATAATACGCCATTAGGACATTTTCCATTAAGCATCTGGAACAGATTAACACCAGTCGTAGCATTAGAGATTTCTCGATAGGCCCAAAGTAAATATGGTATATGTTTCTGCCAATCTTGCGAAAATTCTCTGATGGTATAATGTATCATTCCTTTCAAAACAGCATTAAATCTTTCTACAAGGCCGTTTGAACTTGGATAATAAAGAGCTGAAAACCTTGATCCGATTCTTTTCAAAACTTCTTGAAACAACAAAGCAGTAAAGTTAGTTTCTTGGTCTGAAGCAACATTCTGAGGTATTTTAGTGCGTGTAATAACCTGCAGCAACGCATCGTATGTTGGTTTTGCTTTAAGATTCCTCAATGGTGCTGCTGCTGATCATCTCGTACATAGATCAACAATACATATATTTGTAACCTCCAAAGCTTAGTTTCACAGATCCAATGATATCCTTGTTGATTTTCTACAATGGTTAGTTGGAACTTGTCACAGGCGTAATAGGAATCCACTCAAGAGGATATTTAGTTTGAAGTTCACAGAAAATACAAGTATTGCAATATTCATTCACATCTTTCTTGATTCCAGGAAAGTAAAAGGAATATCTCAAACATTTGGCAATCTTCTTGTTTCGCTGGTGACTTACTCATAACCTAGAATGAGCTAAGTTCAAAATTTAGTTCCTTCTCTCATTGGAAACAACTAACTGGTAAACCCTTTCTCCAAAAATCGTATCCTTATGGTATAAAAAGTTATCAATAGCAATGAAATTATTACTTCCTTTCTTAGAATCTGGCGAACATGCTTGTATAAATGGATCACTTATTTGTTAAACCCGAAACAGTCCTGAATCCGAAACAGAGCTATTTTGTTTCGTGGTATCTTTACAATAATCTTTACAATCATCTTTACCTATCTTTTATATAACAATACATAACATTCTTTTGTTTGCTTAATAGTTTCCTTATATTTTTCATTAGTAAGATTTTCCTTATCATGGTTAAGTATTTCGTCAAAATCTACAGTTTCATAAAAATTCAATTCCACCAAACCATCTTTAATAATGTTTTTACGTTTTTGTGTTCAAAATTAAATTTTCGTTTATAACTCCATTTAATTTATTAAAAAACACTTAACGACAGAAGGAAATCATTAAGTAATTTATCAACCATTGCATATGTCATAAAAATAGATGATTACAATTTACCATCTTCAGAAAACTTAGATAAAGGTAAGTTAATGAGTGAAGCCTTCAAAGTTTTTCGAATGCTGACGGGAGTATAATACTTATATATAGGTTACAATATCTTTCTGGAACAATATCGTTTTTAAAAATAGTTAATTGCGTACTGCATTAATTATTTTACCATCACAAATAAGTTTAACAATCGGTAAGTCATCGATTAATTCACTTTCAATTTCTTGTATTACATTAAAGTATTTAAAGAAAATTTTTGTGCTCACGTCATTAGAATTATTTTTAATTTCTTCCCTGTTAAACTTTTTCTTATTTTCACGCAACAATATGCTACGATACTTAGAATTACATTTTTAATATTTTAATTGAAATGAGCAATTTTTTATTCTGCAGTTCCTTTCGAAACAAAGCATCGTTTGTAATCTTTTAAACTCTTTTTCTTTTCTTTCGGTGACTTATACTTTTTTTCAAAATGTTTTCTTCACTTCCTCAAAATAAACACAAGTCGAGCACCTCCGGTTTTGATTAGATTATTGGAATGATTGCCGCTAACAGTCGTAGCACTGATCTTGAACGAATTACGAGAATGGAATTCATCAAGGGAAATAAAATGCTTTTCAGGAAAATTCAATTAATTCTTATAGCAAAGATAAATTTTTAACGAAGTTCTTTCGCGACTTTTCCCGTTTTAGAACAATTTCCCGTTTTCGACAATTTCCCGTTTTAGAAATTTCACGGGGTCGTCGACATTAATCTTTTGCGGTCTTATTAAGTTAATACATAGGTATCATGCT